AAAAAGAAAGGAAACTACAATCCTACCAGGTGCTTGGTTCTTGGCTCTAGATGAGAATGATACAAGGTTCAAGTGCCTGCCCTGACTTCCAGCAGGGTTTTTCAGGGAAACCCAATCAGTATGCTAACACTCAGCTCTCTGCCCCTTATTTTGACCATATCCAGGGGCTGAGGCACATTTACCACCAAGTTCTGTCATTTGCAGTATATTCCTAGGACATGTTTTTATTTATATTAACGCGTGTTTCCAAAACAACAAAAAGTTTGATCACAAATTGCTTGGCTGGGAACGCTTTTTTTATGCACCTCCCTTCATCCACCAACACCGATCACATTGCAACACCACAACCTGTATTTTTAACACTTCTGCTAAAACAATCAGCATACTCAAAAAAAAAACCCTCTGCCTAATTTCCTCATACTTTTCTTCATGCTTTTCTCCCCCTCCTGCCTGGGCAGGGAAAACAGCAGGCTCAGTTTCCCTTCCCACTTCCCAGTGAAGCAGAGGGAACGCAGCAGGGAAAATACACATTTGTTTAAAGAAAACTGTTTTTGTTGGGAGTTTGACATTGTCTGCTGGAATATTAATACTGAGTCTTGGAAAGGAATAACTAGTAGCTGTGCTTGGGTAGATCGGCTCTGGGGCAGGTGGTAGAGGGGGCCTGCATAGCCACAGCTCGGCTCCTCTCTGACACCCTATCACTGCGATCTGCTCTGGCACTGGAGGTTTGAAGGATGGCCGTGAAACAAGTGTCTGCAGTCCTTCAGCTCATCAGTGAACCCAGGGACAAGACTTCAGGTGACAGTCTTGCCAGTTGGCCATAAATTTTGTCTGCAGCTGGGCTGAGCCAAGCACAGGGAAAAAAAAACCTCTCCCACCAAAAGACACAGAAAAAAACCCAACTTTGGGATACATACACGTGTGGATGACAAACTTTACCCTAGGGAATCTCTTGGGCGACACAAAGAAAACTTCCCTTCCTTCCTCCCCTTGGAGCTGACCTCGGGATGCTCCTTTGCCTCACACAGCTCCAGGTGTCCAACTGCAGTCCTGCTCATCCTGCCCATCCAACCAGCCTCGGTGGCTACGGCAGCACCAAGTTTCCTGGCACTAAACTCAAATCCTGCCCTGGAAGTCACAAGCCCTTTAGCCAAGCCTGTCAGGTAACTTGTTGAGCGACTGTTGAGTGTACACGGATGTGAAGTGGCTTCTTTTTAATCCAGCATGGGAGGACTCTTCCTATCCTCTTCCCCAGTCAAATGGGAGAGCTACCTGTGCATGCCTTCACCTGTGCACTGCAGGGCAGCACGGCTGTGTCCTCAACAGCCCACCAGGACAAATCGAAAGAAGGGGGAATGGAAAATCTGAGCTGCCTTTCAGCCAGAGAGGGAAGATCGAGGAGGGTCCTAGCTTTTCCTTCCCACGCCGGCAGCCGGCAAACACATGCTGCACTTTCTGAACAAGACTCCAGTCATCACCGAACAGTTCCAAAGGATGCTCAGCTACCGGAGGAGGGGATTTCTGCCACATTCCCCCAGATGTGGAATATCCTCAGCCTCTCCAGGGGTCAGCCGGGCTCCCCGCGCCACGCGTGGGTGCCCCACAGGGAGCGCTGACGGCTCCTTTGGGAAAGTCTCACGCAATTGCTCACTGGGCTTAACGCAGGGCAGGGAACAGCCGGGCGGCTGCAGTAGGGCTCAGGACGACGAGCTTCATCATTATCATCATCATCATAATCAGGACGATGATGCCTGAGCATCAGTGCCCTCGCTAAAGGAGCGCACACGGGTGGGTGCACTGACACCCGCGCTGCCCGGCTCTGCCGGGGCCCTGCGCTGTCCCGCAGGGGCTGATGCCGGACCGCACTCGCACCCGGCACCGCAGCAGCGTCCCGGCACCCCCACGGGCAGCGCCGAGCGCGGTCCCCCCCGTCCCGCCCCGTCTCTCTGCACTCCCCCCACTCGCACCTTGTCGGACGGCTTTCACCACGATGGGGTCCTTGCAGCTCCGGATCACCTCCAGCACGTCGTAGAGCGGCAGCCCCGAGACGCGGACCCCCTGCACCTCCAGCAGCAGCTCCCCCTCGCTCAGCGCCGCCTCGCCGTCCCCCGCCGCCGCCGCGCCCGCGTAGGGGAACTCGCCGTGCTCCGCGCCGCCGAGCAGCGCGAAGCCCAGCTGCCCGCCGGGCCCGCGGGTCAGCGCGCACTGCCGCACCCGGCTGGACCAGTGGTTCTTCTTCTGCACGACCCGCGACATGGCGATGCGCGACCCTCCGCGCCCGCGGGGCGCGCTCGGCAGGTGCGCGGGGACCGGGGCCGGGGGAGGGAGGGGGGCGCGGACCCGCCGCCCCGCTCAGGCCATCGCCGCCCGCACCGCCCCGCGCCCGCGGAGGGCGCGCACCGCCTCCCGCCCGCCCCGCTCCCCTCTTATCGAAAATAAATAAATAATAATTTAAAAAAAAAAATTAAAAAGCGCCCAAAAAAAGGAAAAAGAAAAGAAAAAAAAAAAAAGCAAATCCGGCAGCCGCGCGGGTGTAGCCGCCTCCTCCTCTCTCCGCGGGGCGCGGAGCCCTTTTGGGATGGGATGGGGTAGCGGGGGGGGGCGATACAAAGAAAGCGCCGCTTGTTTTGTTCCAGTTCGGTCCGTCCCGCTCCGCCGCGCTCCGCGCCGCCAGCGCAGGCGCCCTGGCACGGCCCGCCCCGGCACGGCACGGCCCCCGCCCGCTCCCCGCCCCCGGCACGGCACGGCCGGACCGGCTCCTCCCCGCCTCCACCGACAACTTTCCCGACGGGAAAAGTCCGTGCCGGCGTCCCCCCGGGGCGGTGGCGAGAGTGAACCCCTCCGGCAGGGAGAACTCCCTCTGCGAGAGGGGCCGGGGGCGCGGCTGATCTGCTCTGGGTACTACTCCCCCGGAGATGCTCGTGTTCTAAAGGAGAACTGACTTCTGTCAGTCCTTTGCTTTCCCGGTAGGATTTCTAGGTTTTTTTTCCCCCAGCCGCAGAACTCTGCAATCACTTCTCACCTGCGCTTTCCAGGTGGTTGTTACTTGAGAGCACACAAAGTCCAAGTCCCCAGGAAAAACTTGCACAAGCCCGTCATTAAAATGGTATCTAAGTGCTTGCGCAAGGCTTGAGTGAAAGTTGTGCTCCGAATCCTCCGCTTTTTGATTGAGTGCTTGAATTTGAGACATCAATGACGTTCTCAAATTTTCCTTTCCCTTAGTGATTGTTAAGAAGTTGGACAGATGGATAGCGAGGTCTGTCTGCTGGGAAAGGGACAGGCATCCATTTGTTTGTCCTTGGACACAACTCTTCAAAGTTACTGAGAACTGGTGCAAAACTCTAAAAGGGGAAAATAAGTAAGCATGCACGTACCAGCTGTCCCTTCCAGGTCATGCTCCGTCCTCCCAAAACTGAAAGCCAGGCCTCATTTTGAGCAGTCTTATGCATGACCGAACCCCTTCCAGCAAGGAATTCATTTGTCAGATGTGTGCGTGCCCTATTTTGCTGCTAATGGGGACTGAGAAGTGACACAGGGTAACAAAGAGCCTGGTCTGGCTCCCTGCGCTGCCACAACTCGCGCTCAGCCGCTACAGCCCGCAGAGTCTCACTGCTGTCCGCGTCGCTCTCTCGTCTCGCATCCTTCCAGCCAAGCGTTGTCGTGGTTTTGCTTTGGGTCAATTTTGCTTTCCACCCCCCACACAATTATTGCTAGTTGAGAGTAAGTTTTTGCAGACAAAAGAGAGACAGGATTTGGGGAAAAATAGTATAAACATTTATTACTAGTAAAGCAAAAACTACTAATAAATTAAAAACTAAAGAACTATATCTACAACAATTTCTACTCAAGTTGAAGTGCTATATATATACAGAAATACTTCTTCCCCTTTTATACCAGTCCAAGGAGAAGAAGTAGTCTCATTCTGTATCTTTGGAGTTCCAGTTCTCTCCCTCTAGCAACAGATCCGCAGCAGCAGCAGTACTTTCATTGCAGTTGGAACTTCTTCTCTCTCCCCCTTGCTCTGTGTTGGCTTCCAGGGCTGGGCTTACCCCCCTCCTGGGCTAAGACCGAAGGCTGGGGGTTACCCAGTCTTGAAGGGTCTTCCTTCCATAGGCTTGCAAGGGGACACTTGCTTACTATGGATCTTCTTCCACAGGGTTACAGGGGATAATGGCTTAAGAGTTCACCCCTGTTTCCCTATGGAGGTCCCTCCCCATGGGA